TTAATATTTTTTTATCGATTTAAGGATCATTTTAAGAACGTATTCCCATATTTTGAAGCCCTCTCTTTCATTTTTTAATTTGTTTCAATCATTTCAAACAATATTTAATTTTAGGATTCAATGTACGAATCATTGATTATGTTAGGTATTGACTTTTCATTTTGCAGTAGTTTTTATTATCAAACTGAGGACCATTTAAACGACATATTCCCATATTTTGAAGCCAACTTTTTCATTTTTTAATTAGTTTCGGTCATTTAAGGCAATAATTAATTTTTCCAAATTTTAGAACCCAATATACGAATCATTATATGTTCGGTATTGACATGTCATATTTCAATATTGTTTATTATCAAACTGAGGACCATTTAAAGAACGTATTCCAATATTTTGAAGCCGGCTGTTTCATTTTTTTTATAAGTTTCTGTCCTTCAACACGATAATTAATTTTTCTAAATTTTAGGACCCTTTATAAGAATCATTATGTTGGGTATTGACATGTCATATTTTAATATTTTTTATAATCAAACTGAGACCTATTTAAAGAACGTATTTCCATGTTTTGAGGCCAGCTCTTTTATTTATTAATTAGTTCCAGTCATTTAAATCTATAATTAATTTTTTCCAACTTTTATGACTCAATATGTACAGATCAATATGTTAGGTATATTGACACGTCATTTCTCAATATTTTTTATTATCAAAATGAGGACAATTTCAAGGACGTATTCCCATATTTTAAAGCCCGCTTTTTAATTTTTTAATTAATTTTAGTCATTGGCGATCGATGATATTGTGAGAAAGAGGTGCAAATGTAATTGCTAAAAGTTTGGTGACAGTTTGATGACATTTCGTGAGCGGAGTTAGTAAAATATTGAATATTGAGAGAGAAAGAGCAAAAGAGAAAGAGAGAGAGAGAAGATACACAGACAAAAAAGTATGTTTATGGCGCCGACTTGATTATTAAATTAGTATTAATATTCGAAGACGAGCGATAAATTAATATTTTCCATATTTCAAAAGTATATTGTTTATACAACATTTTGCTGCCAAGCAGATGTCTTCTTTCAAATTCTTAATATTATTATTACGAAAAAATAATGAATAAATAATATATTTCAGGTTATAAATAGTTAAAAATAAAAAGAAAGAATTATAAACAACAAAAAATAAAGAAAGAGAAATAGAATAAAAAAGAAGATAAAAAAAAGATTTTTATTGAGAAGAAAAAGGAGCAAAGAGAGGGGGGGGAGAGGAGAGAGAGAGAGAGAGAGAGAGAGATAAAGAACGTAGAAAGTTTTATTTAAAATTTAAAATAGAGGAGAAGAAAAACGAACAGAAAAGAAGACAAAGGAAAAGAGAGAAGGAGGAATACAATATTAGGTAATAAAATTTTTATTAAATTGTTTAAATGTTCAATATATTATTATATTTTAATAATTTCTTATTTAGTTTACATTTCATTTTAATTCTTAAATTTCCATTATGTATATAATTTGAATTTCCAAATTTCTATTATGTATTTAATTTTTATTTGTCGAATTTCTATTAAGTACAATTTCAGTTATTTACATAATAGAAATACGGCGAATTAAAATTATGTGCATAATAGAAATTCAAAAATTAAAATTATGTACATAATAAGAAATAAACAATTAAAATTTTGTGCATAATAAAAATTAGGCAAATTAAAATTAGGTTTATAATAAAAATTTAGCGAATTAAAATTATGTATATGTATAATAGAAATTCGGGAATTAGAGTTATGTATATATAATTAAAATTCAGCTAATTAAAATTTGTATGTACACTCGCGGAGCAAAAATTTGTTTGGCGCGCGCGAATTATGTCGCGACATAATTAAAATTCGATGAATTAAAATTATTTCGAGACATAATAAAAATGCGATGTATTAAAATTATGTCGAGACATAATAATAATTCTACAATTTTTATTATGTCGAGACAAAATAAAAATTCAACATAAGTGCACTGACAAGAAAGTAGACAGACCTTTGAGGGAATACCTGGCTTTAAAATCACGTATAAGCTGTTTACTAACACTTAATATTAAACGTTTTAGTTGTTCACAATTAAATAATGATAGTTTGCATTCTGAATCTGGCGATGCAAAAGCTTGCTTCTCGGGTAAAATACTTGCAGAACTTTATAATTTATATGATGATTAAATACCCAATTTTATGTATTATATCAGTCGATTGCTTCATTTTAGGATTATTTTTTAAAGACTAAATATTTCCCTTGTCTAATATTTTTATATTAATAGCATAAATGTGCAGGACGAAAATGTTATTCTGTTTTACTTTTGTTTATCTTTTGTTTAGGAAGCTGTGTAAAGGAAATTCTAATTGTAAATAAAAAAAAACTAATTTGGAATAAAGGAATTGTAGAAAATAGAAAATGATTATTAATAATATATTATTTATTGCTTATATGAGTTAAACATTTGATCTTTATAATTCATTATTAGGCATATTAAGCCTTATATTTTAATCATTATCGATTTTTCTATTTACTAAAATTCCTCTATTCCAAATTAGTTTTTTTTAATTGACAGTTAGAATTCTCCTTTATACAGCTTTATAAACAAAAATAAACAAAAAAACAGAATATACATATATATATATATTATTAATAATATATTATTTATTGCTTTTGTAGGCAATAAATAATATATATAATAATATATATAATTATTTTTTGCACTGTTGTGGGCTATCGCGACAGGGAAGCGTTATTTTTATTTTAATTCGCCGAAATTTTATTATGTACATAATTTTAATCTTATATTTTCACTATGTACATAATTTTAATTCGCTGAATTTCCGTAATGTACATAATTTTAATTCACCAAATTTCTATTATGTCCAAAATTTTAATTCTCTTATTTCTATTATATACACAATTTTTATTCGTGAATTTTTATTATACGTTCATAATTTTAATTTGTCGAATTTCTATTATGTACTGTAACCGTTAATTATTGGTATACAGTCGGATAGATAATGATCCGAGAAATAGGGCCGATGTAATTGACCGACGGCACACCTTCGGCGCGGAAACGGGAAATTCGCGAAGACATCATAAAATTGTGTTTGCTTGGGCGCCAGGCGCGAGATTCGCGCCATTCTGAAAATTCACAAATCGGCAGAGAACCTTCATAAATCGTAAATCATCCCGCAAATTTTCGCGACGGCAATAATCGACTCGCTCAGAGCGTCAGGGGGTAGAGGGGGGAGTTCGGACGGGAGAGAGAACGGAGTTCGAGAGTGGCTATTTAGAATACTCCAATGTAATAATGATGAAATATATTTTAACAATACGATGAACGAAAAGTAGACAAAAAAAATAAAAGTGTGAGTAATCTGGTGTACAAAAGAAAGATTTTAATATAATATTATGTCGATACGCTACTAATTGAAATCCGCGCACTCGTTCGTGGCGGGCGGAGAGTGTTATACGACGTCGGAACGCAAAGAAATCGAAATCGGATATTACATTCGTCAAGATAATGTGCGGCGAAAGTACGACCGAAACGCGGCGCATTGTTATGGTCTCGTGACTTTGTGACGACCCGACGCGGAGATATCACGTTACGCGCGGAACCCGGGAGTACTGGTCCGTATGCGTGGCAACTGATTCTTCACGCACGAGACTTCATATGGTCCGTGCGAAATAAGGAATTCTAATAACCGCGGCCCTACGAAATCTCCCGTAAACTATAGAAGGTTCCGCGCGATTTTCATCTGATATCTATAACGCGGGACGTCCTCCGCGCAAGTACACAAAAATAACTAAACGACCCGAATAATCGTAAGCGCGAGAAAGAATACGCTATCTCTCATATGCGACTGTAGAGACGAATACTTAATAAGACGGATAAATTCTAACAGACTAGAGACGGCACAATAATTACAAAGACACGAATTTATTTTCAGATATCGGTATAAAGAAATCGCGGCGACTATCGGCGTATCCGCGGGAGAGAGAGCCCCTCTTAATGTGCGCGCGAAAGAGAACACGCGGTCGGCCGGGCGCCGGGACAAAATTCTACGCGAAATACTGTAAGGTAGAATTACTTTCAGAAATTGTTTTACGCGTTTCCATTTAATATCGAGTGATAATAAAGGAGACGTGGAAAGGTGGCAAGCGGGCGCGCAGTTTAGATCAATTGGACCAATTAGGGATTAACAGATCGGAGTAGAATATTTAACACCGTGGATTAAAGTAAAGTAAAACAGATATATTTAAGTATAAGTAACTGATTTAACAAAAGAATTCCAAAAGACTCCCGTACACCGAACGCGTCTGATTCGTTATACTTTCCGAAGGAGAGTGTCAGCTCTCCCGCCGGTCTCGAGGTGGTTCGCTCTCGTGGAGCTGCGCATGCTCCACGGACACCCGGTATTGGTGGCAGCAGCTGACGGGCCGTCACCGAACGGTACCGGACATGCGCACGCTAGTCTTACAGCTCGGCCATCCTGTACATCTAACTTCGTCTCGAAGTTATATATATTGAAAGCAATCGCCACCGATCGGCTGATTGCGCACGCGCCGATACGACAGCTAACTGTCCCCGATAACTGCTGCCCTCGGCGATAAGCGTAAAGGGCGCAAACTAAAGCGGCGCGCGCGGGAGAGTCAAAGGGTATTTAAGCTAGCGAGCTGAGAAACCCGGCACTCTCCTTCGAGCAGTATACCTAAAAGATAGTTGATTTTTGTATACGGGAGTCTTACGAAATAAATAGCAGTCTTTCTCTTTACGTGAATATTTTTGTTGAGTGACTTTCAAACACCTTTCTCGAACCTTCGTACTTTCCGCGCTTTCTAAGAACAGTTAAAACTTTTAACGGTCATCCGTAATTAAATACTTTACTTAATTCTTCTTTTAATAATCTCGATTTCTTACAACATCAGAAGTGGGATACGTGCGGAGTATCCATCGAGACACGGGTGTTTCTTTTGAATAAATAAGAACAGTTTTTGTCTTAAAACAAAGTGTCGATTTATTCGCTCGATTAGATTCGTGTATGCGGACACGCGCGCGAATTACAATGGACAGGGCCTCTCTGGAGAACCTCACGATGGAGGAGCTTCGCAAGGAAGCGGATAAATACGCTCTCCCGACAACGGGAGGCCGTAGCCACTTGGTGGACTCAATTATGAGTCATCTAGAGCGGCACGGGCCGGTCCAGGAGTTGGCTCAGCTCGCAGCACCACCAAGTAGGCCCCAGAATAAAAAGGTGGCACCGGCTAGGGCCGCAGGGTCGTCAGAAACTTCGGCGACGGCCACAGAGTCTCTGGAAATGACAGAAATGATGAGACAGATGCTGGTGACTATCCAGCAGCAGCAGCAGCAGCAGCAACAATTGAACATGCTACTTAACTTTGTGATGGAGCAGCGACGAGAGCCCGCCGCTGTCCCGGTTCTGCCACTAGATGCGGAGTCTGTCTCTCCGCCGGGTCCTTCTAGGGCCCCGAGAGTGTCACCGACGGACGACGTGGACCGTCGGACGGCGGAGTCCTGGACGCCGACAGGTTCAATCCAGGCACTGGCTTCTCAAATCCCGGAATTCGCGGGCCAAGAGGATGATAACGTGCACGCGTGGGTCCGACGGGTGGACAAAGTCGCCCAGGTCCACAGCGTTTCAGACGGGGCGATTCTCTTAGCAGCCTCCAGCCGCCTCACCAAATCGGCTCGCCGGTGGTACGACGTGCAGGGAGACGCTGCGGTGGAATCCTGGAGCGGCCTGCGAACAGAGTTAGTTAAGATTTTCGACCGGAAAATTTCGTTCTTTCGTGTAATGCAAAAAATAGAGGCACGAAAATGGCTTCCTGCAAAAGAAACCTTCGACGATTATGCCATAGAAAAACTGGCAATGCTGCATCGAGTGGACCTTCCCGAGGCGGACAAGGTGCATCTGCTGGTGAGCGGAATCACCATCACCACTTTGAAGGCGACCGCGCTGTCACTATCGGAGGACACGGTGGACGGCTTCCTGGAGAGGATGCGGCGTATCACTCAGGGCGCCTCCGAGTGGGACCGGAAACCAGCGCAGCAGGGTCAGTCCAGCAAGGGCGGCAAGGAGTCAGCCTGCAGAAATTGCGGTAAAAGAAGTCATACGCACAAGGACTGTCGAGGTGAGACCACATGTTTCTACTGTAAAGAGAAGGGCATCGTCGGTTTGATTGCCCCGCATTAAAGAAAAAGGAGTCGAAGTCGGCGACCAGGGCGCAGCCTGCATCGGGATCACTGCAGCCAGCGTGACCGCGGACGAGGTAGCATCCGATTTCGTGGCGGCAACACAGGAAGCGTGCAAGTCGACCGTCGACGACCCATTGATTTCTATAAACAAAATTTTAGGAAATTCATGCGACTTGTTAGGACTTATAGATACGGGTAGCCCGGTTTCGCTAGTAAAAAATAGCGTATATGAAAAATTTATTGCGCCATTTTGCGTTCTCAAATCGGTTGAAACAAATTTACGTAATCTATCGAACGTCCCGTTGAAAGTACTCGGGTCGGTGGATGTTCAGATAACTTTGAAAAAAATTAGCGACAAAACATTTTCAATACGGTTATATGTTTTGCTCTCCGACGCGTTCAAGGGCGACATTATACTTGGGAGAGAATTTTTGTCGAAAAACAATATTACTCTAATATACGAACCTGCGGCGCAAGGTGAACATGACCGAATAAACATGTTTGCGAATTTGCCTTTGTATATCGACGAGGACTTGAGTTTAAAACAAATACTTGAGGAACATAAAATAGACTTCGGGCGCGAAACAAAAATAAAGTTGCAAAAAATTATTTTAGAGATACAAGAACAGGACACGTCACCTGTAAACGACGACTTCTCAGTGCATGTACATTTGAGAGATCCGTCGATCTATGCGTTCGCACCCAGGCGCTTCGCAAATGTAGAGCGAACGCAGATCCGGCAAATCACAGACGACCTCCTAGAGCGAGGTATTATTAGGCCGAGCGTCTCGCCTTATTGCGCGCGGGTCGTACCTGTGAAAAAGAAAAATGGTAAGATGCGTTTGTGTGTTGATCTGCGACCGTTGAACAATCGCGTGGTCAAGCAAAAGTATCCGTTTCCGGTAATCGAAGAATGCTTATCGCGATTGAGTGGAAGTCGCGTTTTTTTATTATTGGACTTAAAAGATAGTTTTCATCAAATCAGAGTCCATGAAGACTCCATGAAGTACTTTTCATTCGCGACCCCGGACGGTCAATTCGAGTTTACCCGGTTGCCATTCGGTTATTGCGAGGCACCGGCCGAATTTCAGAAAAGACTAATTAGCATCCTTAATTCGTTAATCAGAGAAAACAAGGTAATAGTCTATATAGACGACGTGCTAATACAGTCTGTAACAATAGAGCAAAATCTTGACACACTAAAAGAAGTTCTCGTTATATTGAAAACGCACGGCTTTGAGCTAAATTTCGGAAAATGTAAATTTTTAAGAAAGAAGATAGAATTTTTGGGATACATAATAAACGCGGACGGGATTACATTAAGCCCCCGTCACGTGGACGCGATCACAGGATATAAAGAACCGTCCGACAAATTAAAATTACAACGTTTTCTAGGACTCGCGAGTTACTTCAGAAAATTTGTTAAAGATTTCGCGCTGAAAGCTAAATCACTACAGAATCTTTTGAAAAAGACGTTGTATATAATTTTGACGAACGTTGCGCGCAAGCATTCGAAACTTTGAAAAAGGAGCTGATCTCCACTCCGTTGCTGAGACTGTACGATCCGGCGGCCGAAACCCAGTTACACACAGACGCATGTTGCTTAGGGTTCGGAGCGATCCTTCTCCAGCGACGCGATAATTCCTGGGGTCCGGTTGCGTATTTTAGTCAAGGCACGAACGCAGCAGAGAGCAGGTATCACAGCTACGAGCTGGAAATGTTAGCAATCGTTAAATCAGTTGAGCGGTTTCACATATACTTATATGGCACGCGGTTCACAATTGTAACAGATTGTAACGCAGTAGTATATGCCGTAAATAAAGCAAACCTAAACCCGCGAATAGCTCGATGGACTCTCGCGCTGCAAAATTACTCGTTCGACATCATACATCGTCCAGGTAGTCGCATGGCACATGTAGACGCGCTTAGTCGAAGTGTCGCACACATAGACGAACTTCCGCTGGAGAGACGCCTTGAGTTCCTTCAGCTTGCGGATTCGAATATCCTAGAAATTAGTAAAACGTTAGAACTAGAGCATAATGATAAATTCGCATTAGTAGACGGATTGGTTTATAAGAAAATCGATAACGAACTAAAATTTGTAATTCCGGAGTCAATGATATCCAATATAATGAGAGTTTATCATGACGAGATGGCTCATTGCGGAGTAGAAAAAACAGTAAACGGAATCTTAAAAAACTATTGGTTTCCCACCATGAGGAAGCGCGTAAAAGAACACATAGACAATTGTCTTACCTGTCTTACAGCCAATAACGCGCTTAACAGGTTCGAAAGGAAAACTCAACTGCATCCTTTGCCCAAGGTTCCGTTAAATACGTTGCATGTAGACCACTTCGGTCCACTGCAGGAAACTGTAGAAAAATACAAATATATCTTAGTAGTGATAGACGCTTTCACCAGATTCACCTGGTTGTTTCCCAACAAAACAACCAGTAGTAGAGAATCAATTACATGCTTAGAAAATATTTTCACAAGTTTTGGCAATCCTATGGAAGTGATATCGGATAGAGGAACCACCTTTACCTCTAAAGAATTTATAGAGTTATTATCGGACAAAGGTATCAAGCACCGCAAGGTGGCCGTAGCAGCACCCTGGGCATATGGAACAGTTGAAAGGGTGAACAGATTCTTAAAATCATCGCTAACCAAGCTCATCGATGCGCCAGATGAGTGGAAAAATTATTTAGGGAGAATGCAATACGTGATCAACAATACGTACCACGCTGTGACTAAATCAAGTCCAGCAAAACTAATGTTAGGTTTTGACCAACGCAGCCATTCGGATCACTCTCTAACCAATTTCACGAAGGCCCTTGTCACCGTCGATGAGGACCTAGAAAAAGAGAGAGATATTAATAGGGACAATGCTTCACGAGCAACAGACCTTGTGAGAGCATACAATAAAGAATACAAGGATACTCACAGTATCAAGCCAACGCGATATAAACCAGGGGAGTACGTTTTGATAAGGGACACAGCCCCCAAAATAGGTACGAGCTCAAAGCTCAAACCAAACTATAAGGGGCCTTACCTTATTGCAAAAAGTCTGGGCAATAGTCGCTATGTCGTTAAGGACATCCCAGGCTTTAATATTAAGCAGAAACCCCTGAATACGATCCTTTCCGCAGATAGAATAAAACCTTGGATAAAAATAGGGAAAAAAGAGAACGATTAATAGGTAGTCGCCAAGGTAAATAATCTGTATTTTATAGTCTAATGTTAATAAGTGTAATGAAAAAAAAATTTTTTTATTAATGTAATACGTACCTGCGTAAAATAAATAGAATACGTACCTGTTAAAATAATAAGCGGTACTACTTAATATTAGAGAAAAAAAAAATTATAATTTCGAGACGAAATTGATTGCAGCATGGCCGAGCTGAAAGCAATCGCCACCGATCGGCTGATTGCGCACGCGCCGATACGACAGCTAACTGTCCCCGATAACTGCTGCCCTCGGCGATAAGCGTAAAGGGCGCAAACTAAAGCGGCGCGCGCGGGAGAGTCAAAGGGTATTTAAGCTAGCGAGCTGAGAAACCCGGCACTCTCCTTCGAGCAGTATACCTAAAAGATAGTTGATTTTTGTATACGGGAGTCTTACAAAATAAATAGCAGTCTTTGTCTTTACGTGAATATTTTTGTTGAGTGACTTTCAAACACCTTTCTCGAACCTTCGTACTTTCCGCGCTTTCTAAGAACAGTTAAAACTTTTAACGGTCATCCGTAATTAAATACTTTACTTAATTCTTCTTTTAATAATCTCGATTTCTTACAATATATATGTTTTAAAGTAAGTGAGCGCGCTGCATTTGCACCGTTGTTATTAAACTGTGACTAGTTCAACTCAGGTACGTACGCTTTAACGCAATTATTCTACATAGTAATATATGCACTTACGCAGGTATGCGTGCGCCTCGGTATCTTAATGCTAACATTCTTTTCAAAAATTAATAGACGACAATATTTACATTTATTATGCTAATATCTTATTACTAGTAATTATTCAAATATTGCAAACTATCATAAAATTAATTAATTATTTATAGGTGGTGTAACTTTTATCCAAGGTTTTATGCGGTCAGATGACATGACGGTGTTCATGGGTTTTTGTTTCAAATTGAAACGTCTGTTATTACATATCGATTTGATCCTAAACTTTTTGCCACCAAGTATGGACCCTTATAGTTAGGTTTCAATTTAGAATTTACCCCTACTTTATTCCGGTCATTTCTGATCATCACATAATCACCTTCTTTATATTTTGTTGGTTTAATGCTATGTTTATCCTTGTACATTTTATTATAATTCCTAATCATATCGGTCGTTTGTAAAGCGGTATCGCGACTAACACTCCTATCTGATTCTAGATCATGATCAACATTGTGCAAGGCTTTTGTGAGACGAGCTATTGCATGGTCTTTATGGTTACGCTGTTCGTATCCCAACAGGAGTTTTGACGGAGTGGCCTTAATTGTCGAATGGTGCGTATTGTTTATAACGTACTGTATTTCGCTCAAGTTTTGTTTCCACTCTACCTGAGAGTCTATGTGCTTTGTCAAAGAAGTTTCTAGAAATCTGTTCGCTCTCTCTATCATACCATTGGCCCAAGGAGTCGCTACAGCTACTTTTCTATGTTTAATATTCTGATTCTATAGGTAATTAATGAACTCATTCGAAGTGAAAGCGGAACCTCGATCTGAAACCAATTCTACTGGCTTTCCAAAAATAGAGAACAGATTGTCCAGAAGCCTCATTGCTTCTTTCGCACCGGTAGATTTAGTTGCATATAGCCACGTGAATCTAGTGAATGCATCTATTACAAGAAAAATATGTTTATAGCCGTCTACAGTTTCCTGGAGTGGACCGAAGTGGTCTATGTGTATCAATTCCAAGGGAGACTTTGGCAACGGATACAATTGAGTCTCGCTCTCCAGTCTATTAGAGGAACTGTTTGCGGTAAGACATATTAGGCAATTTTCAATATAGTTCAAAACGCGTTTCCTCATCCTCGGAAACCAATAATTTTGTTTAATACCGATCAATGTTTTTTCATAACCATTATGTGCCATGTCATCATGGTGCGCTCTAAGTATATTTGTGACCATTGACTCAGGCACGACAAATCTCATTTCATTATCTATTTTTTTATAAACCAACCCATCTATCAGCGCAAACTTATCATTCTCCTCTAATTCTAATTCGTTGCTTAATTTTAAAATTTCAGGGTCTGCTAATTGGAGGAATTCGAATCTTCGCTCTAGTGGAAGTTCATCCACAAGTGCAACACTACGACTGAGGGCATCTGCGTGTACCATCCTATTACCCGGCCGGTGAGTAATATCGAATGTGTAATTTTGTAAAGCTAACGTCCACCTAGCTATCCTAGGGTTCAAATCAGCTTTCTTGACTGCGTGTACTAACGCATTACAATCTGTAATTATATTGAATTTATTACCATATAGATATAAATGGAATCTTTCTACCGATCTAACTATCGCCAACATTTCCAGTTCAAAACTGTGGTAACGCGACTCAGCCGCGTTCGTTGACTGACTGAAGAAAGCCACAGGGGCCCATGGACCGTCACTCTGACGTTGGAGGAGGACCGCTCCTATACCTCCACTGCATGCATCGGTATGCAACTGAGTCTCAGCTGCGGGGTCAAATAGTCTTAACACCGGGTAAGACGTTAATTCTTTTTTAATATTTGAGAATGCTTCAATACACATGTCATCAAATTCAAAATTTACATCTTTTTTTAGCAAGTTTTGCAAAGGTTTGACTTTGAAAGCATAATTTTTTATGAATTTACGAAAATAATTGGAGAGACCTAAAAACCTTTGTAATTGTATTTTATCTTTCGGCTGTCTATAATTGTGTACTGCCTCCGTGTGCCGCGGACTTAAAGTGATTCCTTCTGAAGAGATTATATATCCTAAAAATTCTATACTTTTTCTCAAAAATTTACATTTTTTGAAATTAAGTTCAAATCCATATTCTCTAAGTATCAACATGACTTTCTCTAAGGAGTCTAAGTTTTCTTCTACTGATTCAGCTGGGATTAAAACATCGTCGATGTAAACAATGACCTTGTCCTGCCTAATCAAAGGGTTTAGAATTTGAATAAGCCTTTTCTGAAATTCGGCCGGTGCCTCACAATAACCAAACGGTAAGCGGACAAATTCAAATTGACCATCCGGGGTCGCAAATGAAAAATATTTGGACGAATTCTCGTGCACTTTAATCTGGTGAAAACTATCGCGGAGATCTAGTAGAGTAAAGACTCTTTTATTACTTAACTTAGAAATACATTCCTCAATTATAGGGAAAGGATATTTTTGTTTGTGCACCCGGCTATTCAGGGGTCGGAGGTCCACGCAGAGCCTTAATCGACCGTCTTTTTTTCTCACCGGTACGACCCTGGCGCAGTACGGTGATACGCTCGTTTTAATTATACTTCGCCGGAGAAGATCATCGGTAATATCTCGGATTTGCTTCCGCTCCACCATTGCGAATCGCCTAGGGGCATACGCGTATATCGATGGATCCTTTATATTTACTTCCCCGGTAATCATCATTTACTTTAGAAACATTTTGTGTCTGAACTCTAGAGATTAGTTTTTCTAAACAAACTTTTGTATCTTCACCAAAGTCAATTTTGTTATCTTTTATTATTTGTTCCAGCGTTTCTGTTTGCCCCTCGTCGACACACAAGGGAAGCATCGCAAACAAGTTGATCTTCTCTTCCTGTATTTTCGCCACAGGATTATAAACTAACGTGAGTTTGTTTTCCCGCAAAAACTCGCGGCCTATGATAACGTCGCTTTGAAATGATTCGTTTTCCAAAACATACAAATTTGCCCTAAATTCTTTTTTTTTTAGAGATTCAAAATTTAACGCTATATTAGTTATGCCAATAACATCTAATTTTTGATCTGACAAATTTCTTAAATTACATTTAGTGGCAATTACCGATTTCGCGTCTGATTTAACGAATTTATTAAATACGCTCGCTTTTATGAAAGATACAGGGCTGCCTGTATCTATCAACGCTAATAATTCTATTTTAATCTCAGGTAGACTTACTCGGATCAGGGGATCGTCTACCACTAACTCTGTGGATGTTTCCTGGACAGCTGCTATCCCTGTGGACTCCTGGGTCTTTTCTGACACGGTCGCCGCCGCCAATGTCGCACCGGTAGGTTTAGGGGCCGCTCTGGGTTCCTTCCTCCTCAGGATCGGACAATCAAATCTGCGGTGGCCCTTTTCCTTGCAGTAAAAGCAGCTTGGCTCTCCTCTGCACTCCTTGTATGTGTGACCCTTTTTCCCACAGTTCTTGCAGGTATCCTTGGCCTGCTTATCCTTGACCTGCGGATGCAACTGCAACGTCCTGCGGTCTGCCTCTGCCGTGCCCTAAGCGATGGTCCTCATCTTTTCGAGGAAGACGTCCATCGTGTCGGCCGTGAGGGACAACGCCGTCGCCTTCAGCGGAGTCTGCTGGATTCCGCCAATCAGAAGCTGGATCCGGTCACTCTCGGGTAGGTCCAATCTATGCATCATCGCCAGCTTGTCGATGGCATAGTCGTCGAAGGACTCCTTCGCCGGAAACCACTTCCTTGATTCTAACTTCTGCATAGATCTATAAAAGAGTACCTTTCTATCAAATATTTTCAAAATTTCAGCCCATAGGCTCCTCCAAGACTCTACTGCTACGTCACCTTGAGTGTCAAACCATCGACGCGCCGATTTGGACAGCCGACTGGATGCTGCCAACAGGGTTGCGCCGTCTGTCGCTCCGTGCACCTGGGCGACTTTGTCCACCCGACGGACCCATGCCTGAACGTTGTCGTCGTCAGCCCCGGCAAACTCAGGTATTTGGTGGGCCAACGCTTGCACTACTGACCCTGAAGACCAGGACTCCGTCGATCGCCGCTCCGACTCGCCCGCCGGTGATGATCGCACCGAACTCCGATTGCTTTCGGTAAGCTGCTCCGAATGCGGTTGCCTCGTTGCTACACTTCTCTGGTCCATCAACAATTGCATTATCTGCGACAGTTGCTGTTGCTGCTGCTGCATCGCCGCTAGCATCTGCTGCAACGCGATCGTCGAGGGATCCCCAGCACCTGTCACTGACGTCTTTCGTCCTTGGGACAGTTCTGGAATCCCTACTGCCTGTTGTCCGGTCGCGACGGATGGAGCACTGGCTTTTGGAGCGGACCCCAACAACTGACTGCCTGCCGCTAATTGACGCAACTCCAGTGCCGGGCCGTGTTTCTCTAGGTGAGACATAATCCGATCAATCATGTCACTCCACGAACCCGTGGTTGCCAGTCCAAATCTCGCCGCTTCTGCTTTTAGCTGTTCAAGGTTGAGTTTCTCCAGGCCGTCTCTCTCCATCGTTAAACGAGCACGTGTTCTCACCATGCACATATGTTACCGAACAAAGAAGTTCCTTGAATAAAGGTCGTTCTTGTTTTCTTCTAAAAAATGTCTCTTTTTTTTGTTTTCTTTGCTCCGATTTTTTTTTTCTCGCTTACTTCTATTCTCGGTTTTCTTAATAATTCTAATTAACCGTTCACTACTGTTCACTAATTTCACTATTGATCATTATGATCCACTAGAATCCCACTTCTGAGATGTAAGGTAGAATTACTTTCAGAAATTGTTTTACGCGTTTCCATTTAATATCGAGTGATAATAAAGGAGACGTGGAAAGGTGGCAAGCGGGCGCGCAGTTTAGATCATTTGGACCAATTAGGGATTAACAGATCGGAGTAGAATATTTAACACCGTGGATTAAAGTAAAGTAAAACAGATATATTTAAGTATAAGTAACTGATTTAACAGAAGAATTCCAAAAGACTCCCGTACACCGAACGCGTCTGATTCGTTATACTTTCCGAAGGAGAGTGTCAGCTCTCCCGCCGGTCTCGAGGTGGTTCGCTCTCGTGGAGCTGCGCATGCTCCACGGACACCCGGTATTGGTGGCAGCAGCTGACGGGCCGTCACCGAACGGTACCGGACATGCGCACGCTAGTCTTACAATACTTCGAAATTTTCTCTCAATCTCTCGAAACGACGAAGATGTGACGAATACTAATGATTAATCGGCCGCGGGCACGACACGTGTCTCTCCCGAACAACCTACGCGAAAATTAGCGGCTTTACAAGTCTAGGGCCGTTCGTCTCACCGGTTTCTGCGTGTTCGTCGATGTTTCGGCATCCGCCGTCAGGAACCTCTGCTCTCGGCTACGTTCCGCCAGACAGTGACGAGCGAGAGGCCTGCCGGGATCACGCCGATAAGAATTTGGGCATTTTCCACCCGTAGCGCTCCTTATCCTGGCAGGACCGCTGGGCGTCCCGCGGGGCCCTGCGAATTCGCTCGACGATAATTTCTCTCGCCGTTCCTCTGTTCTCCCGCCTCAAGTTCCGCTGTTCCTCTATACATCTCGTCGGGAAGAATCCTACGGTCTCTGCGGTCCCTTCCAAAAATCAGCCCGATCGATTGATTGATCGAACTCCAATTTTTTGTATATCCGGATAGGCTGAGGCTCGAGGCAATGTATCTCCTGCGCCTTTGTGTCCGGGGCTCCCTCGCCTCTCGCGAGAGTGTGGCCATCCCCGTCTCTTGCCGGAATCTCTGCGGAAGAAGGAGTATTTTATGGCGGTATCTAGGTTCTTAAGGGGAAGCCGGAGCGTTGGCCGAACTCCGACGGGTTAGCGCCCTCATCTAAGCGGAAATAAAATTGTCGATAATTATCGACAATTTTAATTTCGCTATTATCGGCAGTTTCCATATATTAATAATTTACATGCATGTCAAAAAAAACAATTTTATTGTGTTCAACATATTATATTTTTTTAGACAATATAATATATTTTTACTGTTGAATCATCTCGCACACGCGTTTTTATCTAAGCGTGTCAATGACAGTAAAACATACATACATAATTGTGTCTATCTTTATCACATAGTTTGAACACAATAATATTATATATATATATATATATATATTTGTTTTTTGCTTATATATTTACATTCAATTCTCTATATATATATATATATATATATATATATATATATATATATATATATATCATTCACATGTGTATGTATGAATATAATTACTTATCATTTACATGTGTGTATGAATATATTTACTGAGAATTCACATGTGTGTGTGTAATATATATTCTATATATATATTAAAGTCTTGGTTGGTACACCGAGAATAATACGTGCCTCGCGCACGCTTTGTTTTCAACGAAAATTTAGTTTCGTTGGAAATGTATGTAGAAAACATCCGCGTATGGCTCTTTACGCCTTCCTTATGATTTAGATTTATATAAGGAAATGTAGCCAAGAATTGAATAGTTTCCGAGATATTTCACATAATCTGACATATTTTTGATATAAAATACAAAATATCTCGTAAAATATTTAGTTTTCAATGATCTTGCTTTTATGTATAGAATAATTAGACGAAACAATTGGTATAAACAACAAACATGTTGTTTTTACGAAAAAATATCAATAGCTGCATGTAGCAAATTGTATATTTTTTTTTACTGTGTATCTTTTTTTATTTGTCTATAATTATTCTATACATAAAAGTATTATCGAACACTAAATATTTTAATTAAAAATAACTGTGAGACGACCCAACTGGCTTAAATTGATTCTTATTATTAGTTTGATGTCATATATGTTACAAGAAAAGACAACGTTTCAACCTTAGGTTTAGGTCCTTATCAAGTCTAAAATTAAAAATTAAAAAATACAATAAATGTACATACAAGAATTTTGATTTTTAAGAAAGCAAAGCGTAAACCAAGATTGTAATAACAAATTAAAATGTACCTTACAAAATCTTTAGTACAATATATAATTAAGTTTTTTCATTTTACACATTTCAATATAAATACTGTGTCAAGTAAAACGTTTAGTATGGATGGTAAAGGCGAACTAACAATAAGTTAAACAGCTTTGATTATTCTATCATAAATCGGATTCAAATTCTCTGTGTCTTTCTGTAGGTTTTGATCGTGTTATTAAATTTTTTATAAAAAACATTTCAGCAATCTCTCTTTTCCTAGTGTTTGTTTCTCGATGTAAAATATTTAAGTTTGTCCATTTAAAGTCATGCGAAAAATCATTTCTATGTTTGCTTATAACATTCGGGTTGCTGACGCATTTTTATATTATTCATGTATTCTTTAATCCGAGTATTAAGGTGTCTTTTAGTTTGTCTAATGTATGTGGCGTCACAGTCGTTGCAGTCAACTTTATAAACTATCTCGGTCATATCGGCTTTAGGTAATTTGTCTTTTCGGGGTTTAATAACAATATCTAGTTTTTTTGATGAAGCTCCAAGTGATCATATCTGTTGCGATTAAATTGAGAAAATCCGTATCACGTTGAGCATCCCGATACGCGCGGGATAGCTCTTTATCGGCTCCTGTGAATGTTGTACCGTTATCTGAATACATAACTGCTGGCAAGCCTCGTCTGGCGCAAAATCGTTGAAATGCGTTCAAAAATGCTGGCGTTGAATAATCGCTGACCAACTCGAGATGAATGGCTCGAGTTGCCAAACATATGAAAACGGCTATGTAAGCCTTTCGTGAAGTGATTCCTCGACCAGCAGAGGCTCGAATGAGCACTGGACCGGCATAATCGATGCCACAGTGCAAAAACGCCCTCGTTGGCGTTGAGACTCGAGTTGATGGGAGTTGACCCATTAACTGATTGGCTACCTGAGCTCTTTCTCGTGTGCATCGAACGCACCTGTAGATAACTGATTTAACTAACGTCCTGGATTTTATAATCTAAAATTCTTGGCGAATTTTAGACAAGGTAGATTGAAGACCGGCGTGCAGAGAGGTTATGTGCGTGTAGCGAATGAGCATTGTAGTGATTGGATGATCAGCTAGTAGAACTGGATGTTTGGATTGAAATGGTAGATGAGAATGCTCCAATCTTCCGCCAACGCGGAGTAGACCATCTGCGTCTAGGAATGGATTTAACGATATCAGAGCGCTGTTTCTTGATAACTCCTTGTTTGACTTGAGTAAGTAAAGTTCTTCTTTGAACACCTCTGCTTGAATCATATGCAACCAAAAGTTACGAGAGTGCATGTACTCAGATGCTGTAATGGCGTGAGACAGGACGTGATCTTTGTGATCTGCCGCGGGCTTCCGTTGGCATTTGTTTATGAATCGGTATATATATGCAGTGACGCGTATCAACTTTGGCCACCATGAATACCGTGCAGCAATACTCCAATCTTCACGAGTACTGTTTTGATGAGCTTCACATGCCTTCAGTTCCAACTGAGTTTCGTGGTGCTCTGATAGAATTTGATGAGGCCACTCATCAGAATGAAGATGCAACCATGACGGCCCATGCCACCATAGGTTGACGGATATCAAATCTCGGCCGAGTAATCCGCGCGAAGCACAGTCTGCGGGGTTTTCATTAGTGTTTACGTGATGCCAACGACCGGTTGGTAATCGTGTCTGGATCTCGGCTACTCTATGAGCTACAAAAGTTTTCCAATTTGAGGGGTGCTTCTTGAGCCATGCGAGAACTACAGTGGAGTCTGTCCAGCAATAAATCGCAATGTCGCTTAAATGAAGTGACTGCTTGATAAAGTCCATCAAGCGAACTAGCAGAACTGCAGCAGAAAGTTCGAGGCGAGGAACCGTCATTGGTTTAAGAGGCGCGACTTTAGATCGCCCAGCAATGAGCGAGACCGTAATTTTCCCAGAGAAAGATGTCACGCGTAAAAACACCACTGCTGCGTAAGCGATTGTGGATGCGTCCGCGAACCCGTGTAATTCCACAGTTGCCGTGCCGGACTCAAAACCTGTCCAACGACTCAGTTGAATTTTTCGTAGATAAGGTAATGACTCGTAGATAGACTTCCAGGATGATAAGATTTCGTCCGGAATAATGTCGTCCCATCCGATACGGTGTCGCCATAATTGCTGCATGAGAGTTTTCGCCTTTAAAATCGCAGGTGTGACCCACCCGAGCGGGTCAAACAATCTTGCTATTGTTGATAGAATTGCTCGTTTGGTGTTAGGAACAGTTTCAGATAATGTAATTTGAAACTGAAAGCAGTCATGTTTCGGGTTCCAGACAATACCGAGGATTTTTAGACTATCATCAGTCTCCAAATTTTTAGGGTAAGCCAATCCATGATTGTCGGGCTGAATATCTGAAAGCAATTCTGAGTTGTTACTGGCCCATTTCCGGAGATCAAAACCACCACGGTTCAACAAACTACAGAGTTGAGTGCGAGCTTGATTTAACAGTGTGATATCGTTTGCGCCAAATAAGACATCATCGACGTAGATATTTTCTCTTAGGATAGGAGAGGCTAACGGAAATGAATCTCCCTCGTCACAGTTCAATTGTTGGATTACTCAAAGAGCAAGAAAAGGTGCTGACGCAGTGCCGTAAGTAACGGTAAGGAGTTGATATTCCTGTATAGTTGAGTTATGGTCGACCCACAGTATCCGTTGGTAATCTCTATCTCTAGGATCGATTAATATTTGGCGATACATTTTAGCGATGTCCGCAGAATATACATATTTATATTGCCTCCAGCGCAATATAACTGCTTGTAGATCGGATTGCAGTTTTGGGCCGGTGTACATGTGAGAGTTGAGAGACGTTCCATTTGATGTGAGGCAGAAGCGTCGAACACGACTCTTAAACGGGTTGTCGAACTTGTCTCCTTGATGACTGGATGATGAGGTATATAAGTCGCTTGAACATTACTTGAATGCAAAGGAGCGACTTGCTTCATATGATTTAATTGCTCATATTCGCGTATGAAGTCCGAATATTCTTGTGCAAGTGTGGATTGACGAGCAAATTTACGAATTAGCGACGAGAGTCGGCGTTCAGCTATGCTGCGAGAGTCGCCTATTTTAATGGGCGGGCCTTCCTTAAATGGGAGTCGCACGACATATCTGCCATCTGCTGTTCTAGTATGTGTGCGTTGAAAGTGATCCTCGCATTGTTTATCTTCTGTGGACGCATAAACATGTTGAGGAGTTTCTTCAACCTCCCAAAACTTACATAATTGCCGTTCCAAGGAGCAGCAATGAGCAACTGCATGATACCTTTGTTGTGAACTAGGTAATGATGAGCCTTGAGGTTGGGCTTCGACATGCGATGAAACCAAAGTAGAGCCGACTACATGGGTGTTTTGTATGACATGATTAGGAATTGACGTAGGTCCAGATAGAATCCACCCGAAATGCGACTGTATAGCGTCTGGTTGACCTATGGGTCCATTGCGTCTATTGACAAGAACCTTGCTATACAAATCAGCTCCAATAATGAGGTCGATAGGAGTTGATCCAGTCGGATCGTCATCCGCTAAAGTCAAGTTGGAGATGTGTTTCCAGTCACGTAATGACGAAGCGTGTCTGGGAGCATACTTTGTTAATGATCTCATGATGTAAGCTACCGTGGTGAAGGTTGGCTCAGGTTTATCGCGAGGCGAAATATTAATTAACGCGGCAGATCGACATGTACCGGTATCTGCACAACTAATCCCCGAAGTTGAAGTAAATGTTTGCATACGAGGTAAGCGTAAAATTTGCGCGACGCGTTCCGTAAGAAATGTGAGTTCTGAACCACCGTCAAGTAGGACTCTGACAGTTAATGAACGTCCAGAAAGCGAATGTATTTTTACCGTTGCCGTAGACAACACCACAGGAGTCGGTGATGTAGTTAACGTGACCGCTGAAAGCGCTGTGACATTTGATATATTAGTAACATCCTGCGAATTCGATGACACAGGAATGCTCGTTGTTTGTTGCAATGAGCCCGAGTCAACGTGGATCATCGTGTGATGCCGCTTGCTACAGTTGCGACACGTGAATTTACTCGGACAATTAAGTGCTACGTGCTTATCGCTTAAGCAATTGAAACATCGCTTAAGTTTCTTTATCAATTCGCGTCGTTGATTCGTGCTCATTGAAAGAAATTGTTGACACTTAGAGAGGAGGTGAGATTGTTTACAGATTGGACATGACAAATTAATTGACGCAGTTGCGGTGGCGCTTGTCACTCTCGAATGTGACCTTGTTTTATCGCTTTCATGAGGATGGAGTTCCTCAAGCGCTATAGCGCGCGAAGATATGAAACGTATCAAGTCTTTGTACGTTGGAGGATTTTCGTTATCGCTACTCTTCAGTTTCCACGCCCGACGCGTAGCAGAATCAAACTTTTGTGAAATGAAGTATACTAATATATCGCTTACAATATCCTCTGCTGTACGATCAAGACGTTTCAAAGTCGCTAACGCTTGTTCCGTTTTATCTCGCAACTCGTGAAGTTCTGACGCTGATTCGCGAGTCATCTTTGGAAGATGGTATAAGGTCGACACATGGACTTCGATCAACCGTCGTTTGTTCTCGAACCGCGTGGTTAACGCTTTCCACGCGACCTTAAAATTCTCGGCGGTTACTTTGATTCCCGATATCGCATCGCGGGCCGAACCTGTCAAACTAGAGATCAAAAAATGCATACGAGTGAAATTTGACAATTCTTTGTTATCTATAATCAACGACTGAAAGCGGTCGCGAAAGGTCTCCCAATCCTCGTTTTTTCCAGAAAAAGGCGGTAATTTAATAGGAGGGAGATGCTTTAACGAGAGTGACGATGCGTCAATTTGCGCGAAAGAAGTTTCGAGGGATGTATCTCGACTTACGACAGAAACCAGGTCTTCTAGGCATTCGTTCATATGATCCAGGGCTGATTGGTAGAGATCTTCGTGAAGGTCGAATTGATTCTTCTTGAAATAATTAATTGAACCTTGATCATCTTCTGGAACAAGTTGAAGTAGAATGGTGTGATTGTGCACACCTTGAGTCCATTGAGCTTGTAAAGTCGCAATCCGTGAGCGAATCTTTGCGGCCGTCAAATTAGAACGACCAATCTTTTTGAAGTTGTCGAGAGCTCGAGCAATTGAGTGGAAGATAGTTTGCTGGTTTGCAAGAGCGTCTTCCATTTTGACACTATAATTGTTTATGAATATGTCACTAACACGATTGTCTACCTAAACGCGATTACTTGACTGACTGTATCTCGAATCACGCTGCACTTCAATATCACTGGTGTCTTTAATTCAGTGTTCTCGATTCGTCATTACTCTCCCAATCCGGCTCGAAGGACCAAAATGTTTGCGCGATCGCTCGATTGTTGATGTCGAACGTTCGCGCACGAAGCTACGGACACTGACAATCGGGTTGTAAATCCGATCGTCAAAATCCGTCTCGTGTATCGGTTGCACAAGAAGGTTCAAAGTGGACTGTATCTTAAGGAGGGTGGATGCGCTCCAAATGGTGCGCGGGATAGGTAATAATTTAAGCCGCGTGCCGAATCGAGAACCAGAATACTGAATTATATGCACACATTACACAAAACAATCCATTTATTAATTAAACTAAATTTGTCCGGGAATCACAATATACATAAACGCAAATTAGTTTGAAATTTTTACATAAACTCTTTAGCTCATAAAATAGTCACCGCGAGAACACGTACGACGTGATTGCTAAGCAGTCCGGGATATCTCGCTATATGGTATCTAGCATGTGTTGCATGGAACCACCAAGAGACTATTTGTTGCATAACAATTGCTATTGACGATGAACACGCTCGAAACTCATGTATCGAATCTTTCGAAATCTCACCTTAAGATTTCGTACACGTTGCCGATTGCGGCGAATGCGATATTAAGTCGCGAACCAAATTGTCTCATTTAACATGGATAGTCACTGATCACATAAAACGTTACAGTGCGTTGAGCACCACGGGCTCAAAGGGATGAAAAAAGGAACGCAAACACAATCACGACATCAGGTGTCAGTCCCAAGTGACTGATCACGTGATCTGCGCGCGCCAACTCACGTGATCTACGCGTGCCAAACGAACACGCGCGAACCTCATGTATCTAACAGATACTTTTAATTAATACAATTATTACGTGCGTGTAAACGATCGGATTTCGGCACCTTGATATTTCACCGCCGCGCGAATTCTGGTCACACAAAATCACTGAATATCGCTTCGTTGAAAATGTCTTAAACGCAAACTTTATGTCGCGCATATAACGGTGCACCTTGCTGCTACCGTTAATTAACGAATGTCAAAATGAACGTATTTCACATCTCAAATATCACTGAATCCCAGCAGGAGATCACTCTGACTATATTTTTTTTTTATTAATCAAACGAGCTACGAACAATTAGAATCGCGACGAGAAAACCCACATGTGACTGTTCGCAAAGTCGAGCCGGGAGCGAATGACCAAGTTCGATGACGAGGCAGTTCATCCCCGATCGATTCGATAATCGAACGCTCGAAGCGCGGCGTGTAGGTTCAGTGCGTGCTGCCCCGTGCCGGATTAAATCAAAAATTATAGAATTTCAAAATTATCGACCTACTTCTTCATTATTTTGAACAAATAATAAAAGTCTTGACCCGGGGTTAACTTACTTCTGAACAAAATCATTTATTTATTACAAAAAATTATCCACTAAAACTTTATAATCAATTATATTTATAAAAGATTTTTATATATTTTTAGATTATAAATTTAATTATTTTTATTTATGTAATGCAGATTATTTTTTAAAAATTATATATACGTGTGCATGTATGAAAGAATGCAATGTAGAAAACAGAGAAGAGAGAGAGACAGAAACAGGACCACAAAGAGACAGATAGATCGATAGATAGATAGATAGGTTGATCGATAGGTAGATCGATAGATAGTTCGATAGATAGACAGGCAAATAGCTAAATAAATTGATAGGTATGTATATATATATACAATATATATATATATTTCTTTATAAACATTTTCTACGCATACATACGCATACATACATACATACATACATACATGCATGCATATAAAGAAATATACTAACCTTTTCATCCAGCCTTTCTTGAAGGAAACTCTATGTTGACAAAGAGGCAAACGTTTTGCGTTATATTATTCTATGTATGAGAGAGACGAAGATAATATGACTGTATGTCCTTGTCTAACTGCACAATTGCAGCTCCATTTATCGCGACATCGCGCAACTAATTTTCTGCTCTGTATTATTTTTAAATGTCATTTCGCACATACACATGTGAATGAAATATTCCACAACCGAGATCTTTTTTATTAGACTTCTAAACTTATTTCTGCAAGGTCACTAATATTCCTTTATGCAATCTTTTGGAGGAAGTAGTCTTATTTTGTACGTATAAATTGTGAAACTTTTATACAAGCAAATATTGTTATGACGTGACGCGAGAAGCCAAAAAAAAACTCGTATTTAAAAATTTTTGTCTTTTTATCACAAATTCAGACCGCTTCCTCCTTTATTATTGTATTAACTTTAATCGTGGAAAAGCATTTGTTATTCTATTAACGCAATAAAAACTTCTCGATTGTGGCAAAATATAATCGGTTCGGTCGGTAAAAGTAGACCTCCGGCATCCTCTTAAGAATATGCTATTGGTTCCCATTCCAATAGCAACATTATATGGGATAAGCGATATGGAGGTTGTCAACTAAACTAATATATTATTTTCTTAATTTTAATAATAGAATTAATGAACTCGTAATAAGTCAATAAAATATGCATTTATATATATATATATATATATATATATATATATACCCAGATAGGAAACTTTGAGCATAAATGCATAATTATTGCTTCTTTCTAGTACAATAGTTTCGCCATAATTATTGCAAGGTGATGCATCAAAACGCATATTTTTTGTTGAGAAAGAATTTTGCAATTATAAATTGCAAACATTGAGAAGTTGTAAAAGCAAAATATTTTGCGTTATACAAAGTAATTTCTCAATTAATGCAGCATTAAATGTCTCAATTAATACAGCATTTAGGGAAAAAATATTTAATAGTTATAAAATAATTTTAAAAATTGATTTAAAAAAAAAAAAAGGTGCATTGGAAATACGACGAAGTAGTGTCATGGCAAAGTAGTGTATTGTGCTTTCAGTTTTCATGTATATAAGTGTTTTTATTAATATTATTTGACAGGTAGGCTGTGTAATATACACATATATTATTATATATTCTTTGTTCCTTACACATAAACTTTTTCATCACGTTAAGCGTATTTTTAATATTCTGCACAAAATTATTTTCCGAAATGCGTCACCGCCAAGAACAATAAAGGCCTCGTGGCCGACAGACAATATTATTCTTGCATTGCAGTTTGGACGCCCTTTAATTGCCTAAGATTACACACACATATATGTGTGGTTATATACATGAAAGCACAATACACTACTTCGTCATGACACTACTTCGTTGCTATTTCCTTCCCGAATAAACTGGAACGAACGCGCAACTACAGTGTATACTGTGACGCAACGGTAACAGTAGCGAGTAGAGAAAGAGTGATGCTAACGCCACGTTCGGGGAGATTATGACTCTGTCAATGCTGAAAGAGTCATAATAATTGTACAATTTTATGCTGTAGCAATTTTCGTAATAATTACAATATTAGTTTCTAAAATATATTCAGCAATAATTGTGCTAAATATTTCCTGTAAGTATTACATTATAGTAGCATCTATTTTAGGTATCAATTTCACAAAGATCGCTGCATAATACAATAATTAAATTTAGAATCAGTGATTTCAGAATTTTAATTTATAGTTATAGTATAGTATAATATACATTACATTTTAAAATTAAAATAATACGAAAATTTTTCTGCACGCTTTCCTATCTAGGTATATATATATATATATTGCAACGTCTTTTCCTGTGCCGAAACGCCAAGTTCGGTCAGGGGAGCGTTCAATTTAAATATTCTACTAATCTGAATCTTAATACGGTAAAATTCGGTAAGGAAAGAATTACTTATTCGTACTTAGGTACATTCGGTACTCACGGTACAGTTGGGCGCCAGGCGCATGTGAACGCGCCACGATACTACTGTGAACGGTACTTAAAGTCACTTCTCCAAATTTCATACAGAGTCGCGGGTCTATAGGAGTGATGGGTCTATGGTTGAGAGAAAGGTATAGAGAGACATACACGTGGTGTTATAATTTGACAGAGATATATATATTTGACACTTAGGATTTACAATTTGACATCTGATAAATACAATTGGATAATATAATTAGGTAACAAACAGTAATATATAAACTAGCGTTAGGGAAACAAAAATATAATATCATAAGATCGGCGAATATCGGTATTTCGGAATTGATCTACAAAATTATTATTAATTCTACAATGTGAACCATCTTAGATAATTTCGCGACAATTGTATACAAACGGGATAAACAAAGACAAACTCGGTAAACGTTATGATGGTCCAACTTATTTTTGCGGACACGCGGTATAGACAGAGGTCACAATAAGATACTCCGAGACACGGCGCGGTATGCAAAAAAAAGATAACAAATAGATGACGGTAATTTCGTGACTCTCTCGCACGACTCTCTCGCCGAGTCGAAAACAATGAAATATTTAACAAACTCGCGGAGAGCGACTACACGCAAATTCCGAAAATCTAATAATCGAGCCTATAAGAAACGTGACTCTGAATATCTCGGTAACCCGAATTTATGATAATTACTTTCGAGACGATGGACTGTCGGCGGTACTTTTCGGAGAGGGCTCGGCTCGCGAAACGCAAAGTCGGCTGGCCCCGCGATACGATACTCCAAAAAAAGAAAGAGAGAGACCGCTCTCTCACACACAAAACGATACGAAAAATGAGAGAGTGCGGTACTCATGGTAATTACAATATACGATCAATACCTACGGTACCAACCAACACGGATCTACGACTACTCGAGAGGCGGCTTACAGTTTCTGGCGATGAATTCTGGTCCTCGGGTCGCACGTTTGGGAGTTCTGGAGGCACCCTCTCTGTTCTAAGGCACACCGAACAGTGGAGAGCCGGGCTTCGCGCGCCTCGGTACCCTACGTGCCGCGCCGATCTCTCGTGCATTCCC